TTCTCAAACAAGTATATAATATAGTAAATAATATAAAGTCCCCTGTTTTCTATAATAAGTTATATCAAACTGTTATTATTGTATATTCTAATTCTTCTGTTTTATTCATTGTCCATTATCAAAACCATAATCATCAAAGATTATTATATGAGCGTAATCATTGAATCGAATGTTTTTCTTTAATTCGATATTATTGACTCATAGTTTTCTTTTTTTAATAAAGTGTTATAGCTTAGGTTTGGCAGATAATAATATTTATACAATTGGTGCTTTTATTGGAATAAGAAATCCCTTTGCAATAAAGTCCTGAAGGACTTAGGCAGATAAGTTAGGCTTCTCCAGATACAATACATAGTATTCTATCAGGAAGGAGCTTTTCGTTTCCTTTCAAATCGAATGCCAATTACCAGGTCGGAGTATAGTATTTTTATTTCATTAGATAATAATGATTATCTTCATTATAGTTATCAAAAACTCCTTTAAAGATCCATTTCTGAATAGATTCTATTTCTCCATTATTATATTCAAGAACTTTATCACAAATGGTTCAGGATTCCGATTTGTTAATCTTCTTTTGGCCAAAGAAATAAAGCTTTTAGTAAATAGGGATTAATAACAAATAATGAAATACTAAGAAAGTTCGTATGTTTTCAGATAATTTGATTAAACAAAAACAGAGGTATACCTTTTCGATTACAAATAATCTAATCCATTTGTTATTTAGTTTCTTAGCTTTCTAGAAGGTTTTTATATTTTTTATATTAACATAGTGTGACGGAACAGACGGCTCTCTTCCGCCCACTGGCTCATACTACATACATAGTATAATATGACGGCTCTTTTGGACCTTCCTTTCACAGCTTAGAGCTCTAGCTCTACAGCTCTAGACCTAGGCATCGTACGATGCTTATCTCTAGGTCTCTTTCACCCTTTTGGGCCTAGCCCTTATGGCTCCCAATACCTGTATATATAGTCCTCCTTTTAGCATCCTACATAGCTCTTCACTTGTAGATTCTAAGTACACAATCGGAGTCCTATTTATACCCTTTTGGTCACAAAGAGATTGATTTATTCTTATAGTAATAACTGAGAGTATCAGAACATATTACTTTAGATTTTGGTTGATAGATAATATGAAAGTTATATTGAAAGAGAAACTTTGATTAATAGATTTACTATTGATTAAAAGCTTTGGTTATTATAAAGTATTCTAGATTTTTGTAATTTATCAAAACTTTGAATTCTTATTGAATTCCTTGGAGCTTTGATTACTATTCTTTTAATAATTTAACTATAATTAACAATTCTTTATTATAAATCTTGTAATTGTATTCAACAAATAAATGTTTCGAGGAAAAATATATCACAAAATGAAGAATATTATTATTATTATATTAAAAAAGAATACCTTTTGATACCCAATCTAATATATCTGTTTCTAAAACTGATTTCTTGTTATAATCGAAATAAACTAAAATAAAAGCTATAAGAAAGGCAACGTTTAAGATCTGCAAAGGTACATTAGTATTTGTTAATCTATACCCAAAC